CAAAAGAATTGCATAAGCATGATTCCTGACTTTCATGAATGTAACCAGGGTGGTTATGCCCCAGAACTGAATAACAATTAAAAGTTAGATATTGGCAGCTTCAGGCTTGCTTTTCCCCAGGAGCCTAAGGGGTAAACTTTAGAAGGCAAACTTCACAACAGCCACCTCATTTACAGAAAGAACACGCTTCTGATCCCCAGAAAGGCACTCAAAACTAACGTCTCTGTGGCGATGCAAGGATGGCCCACATGAAGAGGATATGATTCCATGCTGTCAACCGTAAGGATTCCCAACATGAGTTTACAAAATAGACTTSGTTTTGGACACTTTCATACATCTTTCTCTCTAAGCCTGTACAGCAAAGGTGTCCAACTCTCCTAATACCCCTATGTGACCTTAACAAAAACTGCACGTGGCCCAGGGAGCTGAGGGGAAGGAAGAAGTTCTGGGAGCAGTTTCTCGGCAGAAGACAACAGCTTTGATGGAATCCCATCTGGATGGGGCTGATGTGGGCACACAGCTGGACCCTGGGTCAGTCAGTGCCCTCTTGGCTTCAGCAGCCTCTGCTGGCATTCTTCTGCCCAGAGCTGGGGATCCAGGTTATCTGTCATCCAAAGWGCAAAGCCTTTCCACCAAGTATGTGGCATCACCTCACCACAGGACCTGTTCTTAACAGCTCACAAACCATTAGGTTTGTCATCATTTACATTTCAATCATTTATGTTTCCCGGCTTTTTTTTTTTTTCTGCAGCTATGGAGGTCAGAAATATTTTTTAAAAATTAAATTTGAGAATTGCTAGTCAACATGTCTCTAGTTGCTGAGGCTCTCCTACTTTTAGTATTTTCGTAACTACTGTATTCTCAACTATCAAAAGTAATGATACCCTACAATATATTGAGTCCTCTGGAGACGAAAGGCTCAGGACCTGATGATTTTTTTTCATGAGCCACAGCATGTCAAATAACAAAGTGAGCCTGGCAAGGATTGACAGAGATTCAAAGTGCATGCAGACATGTACACACACAAAGATYACTACGGAAAATGTGCTGCCTAACTCTGCAAGAATGAACCCAACAGCTCAGGCACCTTGCTAAGCTCCAGAGGGAAGACAGAAGTACTGCAAGGGACATTCCTGGCTGTCCACTCATCACAAGTCTGCATGCAGGTGGAGGTGAGAGGGTGTGCTTGGTTCCTGAAGCCACCGTGAACAGAAAGGCAGCAGCACCGGGATTGCAAGGAAACATTCCCGGTTGTGTCCCAAAGCAAACAGCAATAAAACAAACTGCTAATGAGGATGCAACCTGACCCTCTGCAGAGTGCATGCCCAAGGACTGTGCGGCTGCAAGGAGAAGGGAAGGACAGCATCGGCAGAAACTTCAGGCTCAAGGGGATTTTTAAAAAAAGCAACAAAGAAAATGTTTGGGTACTTTGCTGGTAATAAAATTTACTCACGAAGTAACACAGAGCAAACACTGCTTTGAAGGAAAGAGAAGTCTTAAACAAAGAACCTTAACCTGCAGAAAGAATTCCTTTTTAACGCTAATGCTAACATTTCATTTTTTGTAACAAATCCCAGTGAATCTTCCCTTAAGACCTCTCAGCTCCAGACAAGACACTTTTTTTTTTCCTCTACCTGCTGATGTACTCTACCGATCTTTCTTTCCAGGAAAGAAATTAATTTCTATTCACACTTTCTGCTTTTCTTTGTTAGGGTGTTTATCACACTGTTACACAMACCATTCTCAGAGCTATTGGAGCCTAGGGAGAAACATCTAGATTTTACTATTTCACAACAGGAGACCAGCAGCTCCAGGAAACTGGAGAGAACCCATGAGCAAGCTACTCATGGCAACATTCACAACCCTAAATCTGGTTGGTTTTTTTTTTCTTTTTAAAGAACAAGAAAACAACATGCAATCCAGAAGCCACTGCTAAGGGAGGAAAATGAATGTATTTAATATAATGAAAGGCAACCTGTCATTTTGACATGTTTTTGGTTTTCTGGGAGTCTAATAATCAGTAACACTCAGCAAGGGAGRTATGATGGCACAAGGTACTTGATTTATGGAAGGACATCAGTGGTAGCTATTTTGACTAGAATTGCAATGATAAACCTGGATAGCAAAAAAACTGTGACAGACAAGAGTAATCCAGGATGTAAGAAGTCTGGGAACTGATGAACTAGGGTCAGGATTGTAGAAATGTAAACGACACTTACTGGAATAGTGCTAATCAAACCYAAGAAATTCTGCAAGCAGTTATTCTGCATGGACTTAAGTATTGGAACCATCCCATTAAAGGTAATAGGCATGAACACAGTCCTTTAATACTTTGGAWTTATGGATGGCTGTTTTCCCAAGCTTCTGGGGGAATACCATCACTAGTATTGCTGTTYTAAAAAGGAGCAAACACACATAGATTGCAAGGAATACACAAAAGAGAGCTGGGGCTGTTTAGTGAGCAAACACATTTTGCATTTGGAACCAAGGTGCGAACAAAGCTCTTCTGAACCCTGAGCTGAGTGGCTGAGTAGCATCTCTGCACTGTATCATCTCCTAATTCTTGCTGTGAATTAAGTGCTCTTAGAGGCAGTTTGGTGTCACCGTATCAGACAGCACAGACAAGCCATAAAAGCAGTGAAARTGAACAGGAAAGGAGTGTGTCTCACCCATCCAAAAGTAAGTTGTTCCCCTTGGTTATTGTCCCCTTGAATAAACGGTAGCTGAGAGTAATTTCCTTCTTGGGATTGTTCCTGGACTAGCAAATGCAAAGCCACTTGCTGCATAGATTCTCTAAGCCTTAATAAATAACTATAATGAAATTCAGGTACAGGTGCTGAATGATAGTCCCACTATGCAGGACATATTTTTCCTATTTATTTTCTTGCTCAGGTTTCACCTGTAAAATGGGAACACTAAGGCAGCTCCTCAATCTCAGCCTATTAAATCCTCAGTCCAGCTGGCATACTCACAAAGAAGATTTTCCAACAAAGGAATCTCCATTGCAATTGCAACACCAGGGCATCCCAAAATGTGTTTTCCTGTGACAGTGTGCTCAACTGTTTCAGGTACATTAGATCAGGTCTGTGACACATCACAACCCCAAAAGCTTCCCACCTAAGCCTAGGAATGGAATAAGCAATCCATCATGCAGTATGACACGCTCCCCAAAACACACACACACTCAAAACCTGAAAGTGGTGTCAGAATGTTTATTGAAGAGGGCAATCTGACTGGCTGAACAGACCTGGGTAGCCGGTAACTTTTAACATAAGCAAACAGAGATACTGTAAACCTGCTGTGCATGGAAACTGTGTTTATACTTAAATTGGACTTGGAAGACTGAAATAACTTACTAGAAAAATATAGCTTAAGTTCCCAGGAGCTCTCAATGACCTTGAGATCATTCTGAAAAAAACAGAAATATGTAGACATATACAGTGATGCAAACAGAGTTACACAAATATTTTTGAAGTCAGCTAATAAAATACATTTCCTTGCCTATTTTTTATGATAGCTTTGCAAACATACTTTTAAAACTGCACTTTTCAGCCCCACCAAGCATTTTTTTTGCCACTTGCGTTATCAGAACTGATGGTAAGCATTCTGCAATATAAGTGCTGCCTCATTTACTTCTTAGTGAGTTTTGTAATTGCTGGATCTGTTCCTTTTAGCTAGACTGCTGAAATTCTTTATACCACGACAAGAAAATAAACTTTCTTAGTGATTCAGTGGAAGTACAGAGGAAGATAAAAAAAAGAAATAGACACAAGAAATTTCAGATTATTCTCAGTGCGGTCGGTCGATACAATACACTGACAAAATTATTTATATAGCAACTRAAATAGCTGTACGCAGGCACATCTGCATGTTAAGTGATCACAAATCAGAAAGATAACAACCACCACAAATTGTGAGCTCTGTTGCTCATGAATCTAGAAAATCRTTATTAGGAGTATTAAAGCACCCAGGGTAATGTAACCTAATGTTGCATGACGGTGATTAAACTCCTATGAAAATCAGGAAACAGCTAAATCTAATAGTGTTTTGCTTAAAAAAATAATGAAGACAAAGGAGGGAGGATAACTATTTTGTAACTTTGTTGCACAAAATTGGCGGAGGAGTCTAACTGAGCTGTGATTATTGTTCTGCCATGGGCTGGGTGCGTGGCCAGTACTGGAAACCGACGCTAAAAAGGGAAGCTGGGGAAACATCGAGTGATGGATTGCAGGTTACCCATGAATCTGTATTTGTACCTGCATTTCCACACCACTCATACAAATCYCATTTGACATGAAAGCACCAGGCAGGCAAGCAGAAGGGACTGTGCTTTTCACAGCAAGGTGCTCATTGTGCAAAGCCTTGTGATGTCCAGGAATGGATAACCTGAGAGCATGCAAGTTAAATCAAGGCTTTGGAGAAGGGGGGCAGGTTTCAGTTCAGTGCTGGCATACCCATAAATTTTGGTTTAAAGTGTGGAAATAACTGGCCCCCTGAGAACATCTGCCAAGCTCCTCAGAAAACAGGATCATAACAAGGTGTTTCTGCAGAGTAATTCAACTCCCTGACAGAARGTTGTAGTGAGGTGGGTGCCGGTCTCTTCTGGCGTGCCTGAAGTGAGAGRACAAGAAAAAATGGTTTTAAACTGAGACAGGGGAGATTCAGAAGAGAYAGCAGAGACATTTTTTTCACTGTTAGAATRGTCAASCATTGCAACAGGCTGCCCAGGGAGGTGGTGGAGTCTCCAGTTCAAGAGGTGTCTGATCTGGCACAGGGAGATGTGATTTAGTGGTGTAAGGGTTACAGGGGCAGTGCTGGGTGGACGCTTGAACTGGATGGTTTTAAGGTCTCTTCCAGCCTTGGTGATTCTGTGAAYAAAGGCGACSAAGCTCCCGTGTCCCCTTTYCGAGGRCGAAAGGCAGCATTCCGTGCTGCCCGCTTGCTGTGAGGGCAGAGGCCGCAGCCGCGTCCCGTCAGCACCGGGGCCGCTCCCGGCCCGTCCGCCGGCGGCTGCGCGCGCCTCTCCCCTTCCTCCTCCTCCTCCTCCTCCTCCTCCTCCTCGTCCTCCCGCGGCCGCTGCCCCCCCGGCAGGGATGGAGGCCATCGAGGAGCTGGCGGTTCAGCCCTGCACCTCCTCCCTCTACCTGCGGCCTTTCCGCCTCTCTTACCGGCAGGTGAGTGGCGCCGCCGGTCCGCCCGCCCGGCCCCGCGCCGCCGGGACCCGTCACCCCGGGCCTGCGCCATTTTGGGGCCGCGCCGGTGTCGCCTCATGGCGCCGCCCGCCCCGCTCGTCCCGCAGCACCCCCGGGGCCGCAGCGCTGTCCCCGGCAGCCTCTCGGCCCGCCCTGAGGTGGGGCCAGCGCAGGTGGCTCGAGAGACGGTGAGATCACTGCATTGGGGTGCCACCAACTCCTGCGTCCCTATGGGTGTCTCCTGTGCCGGGGCTGTCACTCTCACCCCGTGCTGGTTTCCGGGTTTAGCTCTCGATTTGGCCTTGTTTCGKTGCGGATTGTTCACATTTCGAGCCGGCCAGACCTCAGCAGGCCATCGCTTACATGCACGAGTGTTCAGGGGTCTGGGGCATCTTTTAGGAGAGACTGGAGGAGCCGGGCCTGTTTAGGGAAGACTGAGAGCATTAATGCATATAAATATCTCAAAGGTGAGTGCCAAGTCATTGATGCCCWGCGACAGGATGAGGAGCAGTGGCCATAAACTAACCACAAGTTTCACTTCAGCATAAGGAAGAGCTTTACATTGAGGAGCAAGAACAGGCTGCTCAGGGAGGTCATGGAGTCTCCCTCTCTGGAGACATTCCAAACCCACGTGGAGTCATTCCTGTGTCACCTGCTCCAGGTGACCCTCTTGTGGCAGGGTGSTTGGRCTGAGTCATCYCCAGAAATCCCTTCCAACCCTGACTCTTCTGTGATTCTGTCAATAGCTTCAGTGCCTGCAGGTGGGAAGCGGTGAAGGAAATCCTGTCCCTTATCATGTTTATATCAACATGAGTCACCCTTCACAGGATCACTGAGAGCTGGTACCTCCAACAGTGAAAGGAAAAACTCACAGTGCAGAGCAYTGCATGTTCCTTGGATGCTTTCCTTGGGCCTGGTTGTAGGCTGGTCCAYGGTGAGCTTTTACCCAGGCTGAGTGGTATAAGGGGAAATGAAGGAGAATTTGGACAGCTCTAGAAATGGACACTGCAAAACACTTCTCTCACTGCTTTGCTTCTAAACACATGTGTTGGAAAGGCAGAACAGGAATGTACTGAGTCCAACAGAGAGATAAAGTACARGAAATGAAAAGCAAGGGTTCAAATAGGTTTCATCAAAGCAGACAAGCTGATTTTTAACATTTTTTAGAATACATTTTGTACATGATTTTCCTCAAGAAAGCTCTCCTCTCATTGGTTGTGATAAATAAACCAATTTGATTCATGAACAGCTGAGAGCTTTACACTGAGTTACGACTTTTTAGGTATCATGAGTAAAGCTGAAAAACATTCTTTCATGTTCTGAATTTTTGCTGGCTAAGCTTACAAGTGATGGGTCTTACTACTTAATTTCATTTTCTATTCTGAGTCATGCTTTATTTACATGAAAAACGGGATTTAATTAAAATGTACAAAACAGTATTGCAAAATTACATTTAATTGAATAGATGTGCCTTAAATGTGATTATATTGTAAAGAAGAAATAAGGGTATGTTTGGTCATGTGCTGTGAATTGACAGAAACCAGCATTTGCCACCAGATGAAGTAGACTTGCCCTTCTTGATACTTCCTCTCCTTGCACAAGTATCTGTGCAGCACCTGAGTGAGCTGGACCAGGACCAAACCGAATCTACCCAAAAAAAGAAGTCAGTTTTAACTTAAACAAGATCAGTGATTCAATTCATTATGCTGGCAGAGGGGAGGTGGTAATGTGGTAGTTAGGGATGAGTGTTTGGGGCCTGTTGAGGGCAGAGATTATTTCTCTTGGCTGCAGCACTCTCTTAAAATGAGCTTGAAAATGTAGTTTCTATGGCATCTGTACAGAGACTGGCTTGGGTCCAGCCTACTGAGAGCATGAGCTCAATGTGGGCACGACTGTCTGTACCTGACCTGAGAGGTGGGCTCTGCTTTTATTAAAACACATTTTGCATTTAAAAACTGACTTACTAACCAGAGGAAATACTAAATATTTTCAGTCATTTGACTAATTGTTTCAAAAGCATTTGGGTCTGCTGGAAACCCCATTAAATAGCCGAGTGTCTAAAATCCAAGAGAATTAGATGCCTGTTCTACTTAAGAATTTTTGAAAATTCCACCRCTCCTCTAAAACTGGCAATTACTTCCAAAATCTGGCCCTTGATTCTAACGCTTTTATGCTGACTAGGTCTTCCCTTGTCCAACTATTTTAATTCACTAGCTGGAAAAAGATAAAGAAACTTTGCTTCTTCCCAGTTCCTAATTGCTGTATCTTACAGTAACATTAATTTCCCCCTTCCATGAATTCCCTGCATTTGCTTGCTGAACTTGACCCAAATCTAATAAAAAAGTCTTTCTGAATAACAGAATAATCTAATGGAGAAAACTTGAATATTGGCATTTGTTGCACTGTGAACACTGATTCAACTGAAAGTAGTTTGGATACTTAGATTATGCAATATGTGGCATTATGCTGTATTTGGAAGACTTTGTGTGGTCTTACAGATATGTTTTGTGAAGTTCTGACACATTCCCTGTAATTCATTGTAGTCCGAAGATTCATTGCTGCATTTTATTGTGTCTGTATAACATTAATAAAGGATAATTGTGGCCTTGAAGACTGAGAATTTTAAATCTGGTTTCAAAGAGGTATATTCCTAAAATAGGCATTGATTGTTTAACGTATGTCCTCTATCCAAGGACATATAGAGAGTGAGAGGTTTTTTTATCCTTTTTTTTTCACAACTGTTGCTTTTCTGAACAAACAGGAAGTCAAAAGAATTTTTACATAYAGTGTAGGATTTTGAGATTATTTCTAAGCATTCATTAATACTTAAGTAACAGCATTGATTTTTAGACATTTCATATCAAAATTATGCTACTTGTGTGGAAATAATTTGAATTCCACTACTACAGCTAATACAGTAAGGTCTTTAACATATTAACATAAATTTAGATACATTTAGATAGGTGATTTATATCTCAGTGTACCCCGCTCTTCTGATTTTACCCATTCAACCTGTACACCACTGAGTTGTAAGCCACTGTTGTTCTAGCAGATTTACAGASTACTCAAAATCTGGAAGGCATCAGGAAAGGATCAATTTGGGAGCTGACATCTAAACAAAATGCTGAGTAAATTAGCTCAGTTGGTCAGTGTGGGAATAACACCAAAGACACCGRCTCAATCCATGTATGGGCCATTCACTTAAGAGCTGGAATCTGATCCTCAATGCATTCCTGCCAGCTGAGAATATTCTGTAATTCTGATTCTGTAGCTTTGTGCTTGTGTCCCAGGTTTCCCTATGTTGTAAGAGCTTGAGTCATCCTTTAGATTATATTTGGTTACATATAGAAATGCTCTTTCAGAAAACCATGAGAAATATGTCAGTTTCTGACTTTTCAACTGAAGTGAGGATTGTTAGAAATCATGGCAGCTCCTGAAATTACAGTAATTTATGCCCGTGGTGGATTCTGTTCTTCCCATARAGGGTCACGAGATTTTTTTCATATGAGGTCTTTCTCTTTCATCATCCTCTTCCTCTGCCTACTTGTACTTTAAATGAAAGTGATGGGCTCTGAATTTTTCCTGTACAGCATAAATGTAGGTGTATACCCTTCTGAAAGGCTTCCAGGTTTGGAACCTTGCAGATTTAAGGCACCGTGCAGCTTGATGTTGGGCATCGAAGCTTTGGAAAATAGCCTGGCTTGCTCACTCATTTCAGTTAGTTCTGTCTTCATATAGTGTTAAGGTAGAAATGGAAGTGCAGCCAAGGAGTTGTGGAATTCAGCAGACTGTAGTCAGATTTTGGTGAGGGCCAATATGGAGGGGTAAGATAAAGATTAAAATTATAATCTTCAAAACAGGCATCTGAGAGAACCTCAAAAGGGACCTCAGCTTCTACTTGGGATTTTCAGCTGTCAGCTCCAAGTGGGGACTCAATCAAGTAAGCCATGTTTGAAGTGAGGTAGCCTGGTGTTGAGAGATGGACAAGATACCTCACTTAGCCTGAGGAATATCAGGATTATCCTCTTCATTTTGTCAGTAGAAACCTGTGTTCGTATACATTTTGTTTGTGCTTGGTAGTGAGAGAAGAAAATTCATTTTTCTCACATATAGGATGGCATCTGTCTAGCTTTAATATGTACTTGCCCCCAAAGTGCAAATTGATTTGTTATCTAAATTGGCTTTTTTAAAAAACATACATCACCTCCTGAAGAATTGGCTTTTTTACCAGGAACTCCATGGTGAATCTCTTTTCACTTTTTCCTATTGAAGTTTTTCTGCTTTTCATAAATAATTTATTCAAGAGACCAGAGGGATGGCTAATGAGAGATTAACTCAATGCCCAAGGGCTAGGGCATTTCCCTGGGATGTGGTAGAGTCAGGCTGCAAGATCTCACTTCAATTAATATTGCTTCCCACATCACAGGAGAGTGTGCTCACTGCTGGGAAACACATTTGTGTGTAAATCTTCAGTTCTCTTTTGTGTATGCTAGCCAGGCACTAGCCTATATATTAGACTAAAAAAAAATTGCCAAGTTTAAGAACTCTGCTGAGACTCCAACTCCAAGTCATGAACAGTTAAGGAGAGTCTTTAGGATTTTGAGCAGCATTAACTATCCAAATGGGAATTTGGATACAAAATAGTCTTCTTAAACAGCACTTGAGCAGGGAGYTCACTGGTTCTGTGTACTGGATTTGGACCCTTACACTGTGTTTTGACAGAGCTATCGTGGATGTTGCTGTGGTAATTTAAGCAGTAACTTCATGCAATTTTTTTCCTGTGCTAGTKGTTCCTACCCCCTGGGAATCAGCAGAAGGTGCCTTGCTCCAGCTCTTGCTCTGTTGTTCCAATTCAAACCCACTGCCATCGGCCCGTTAAGCCAAATCACTGAGCTTTACACAGAACTAAGTGAATTGTCTTTGCATATTCTTTTTGGTGACCTCTGTGCTAGGGACAGCACCCTTCAAAGGGGAGGCAGAAC